CTTCCCCTTTAATTGATGACAGAGACTTGCTGTCAGGTGAGCTGGCTCCTACCTGGCCTTCTGCGCACTCACAGATCATCAAACCCTGGGGCAGGGGCCTCACATCCCAGCTCCTGCTGGGGACAGAGACCCGGGCCCTCGTGGGAAGTGAACTGGGTCCAGAACCAACCTCAGGGCTCCTGGCAGGTCCGGGGCAGACAGAGCACTGAATTCTGCCCCAACTGGGAGGACAGCTGCTGTCCAGTGCTGGTGGGGGCTAGGTTCTCTGATTTTTCAGATGCCAATGGCTAAGGTCCTGAGGTTTCAGTAACTACATAAAGCTCACTCTCACTGTAAGAAAAAATTGGTAAGTTCCACTCTTTCAAGCTCTGTGCAGTGTGGAGCAGCTAAAACAAATAACCGGATATCATTGAGTCGATTCTGACTCACAGAGACCTCACAAGTTTTAAAGTAGAACTGCACTCTGTTGTCTTTTCTACAGCTATTTGTGTGTGTGTGTGTGTGTGTGTGTGTTTGTTTTGCGGGGAGTAGATTGCCGGACTTTCTTCCAAGGTACCAACCTCTGGACTCGAACTGCCATCTTTTTCGTGAGCAGCTGAACATCGTAACTGTTTCATTACCTTGATGACCTTCCTTCTGTGTATGGGCTGTGAGTCCCCAGGCACAGCGCTGTTTGTGGCAGACTAAAGCTTGCAGTCACGAGGGCCTGACTCAGAAAGCCCTGAGTCTGTGTGTGCGGTGGATACAAGCTAAGGGAGTGAACTGAGGGTTCTAAGGGAGAAAGGGGACTGTAAGGCCCAGGTGCTTTGTAAAGTGTGACTGAAGGCACACACAGTCCCAGTAAGGAGTCCATGCTGGTGATAAAATCCACACTCACCCTAGTGGGCTCCTCAGTGTATAATCGGGGTCCTCAAGTAATTCAGACTCATTATCAACAGACGGGACGGAGTAGGACTGCCCCATTGGGTTTCCAAGGCTATAAATCTTTATGAAAGCAGATGACCTCATCTTTCTCCTTTGGAGTGGACGGTGGGTTTGAATTGCCAGCCTCTTGGTTAGCAACCAACTGCTTAACCGCTGTGACACCAGGGATCCTATGATTGGCGCATGGTGGATGCATTTTTAGGGGTCATGATGACGTAGTAAGTTAAGTGACAACATTGGGCTTCGTATTAAGCTTTGGTGGCACCGTGCTTAACTGCTAACTGGAAACACTGACAGCTCAAACCCACCAGCGGCTCTGTGGTACAAATATGTAAGCATCTGCTGCCATGAAGACTGTTGGTAAGTGCTGCTGAATTGGTTCCGACTCATAGCGACCCTGTATAGGGTTTCTGAAGAGCAGCCCATGGCTTTGAACTGCCGACCTTGTGGTTCGTAGTCCAGTGCTGATCTTACAGCGCCACACTAGGAGTCCATAAAGATTGTTGTTGTTGTTGTTAAGTGCTGCTGAGTTGGTTCTGACCTATAACGACCTGTATACGGTTTCTGAGGAGCAGCTGGTGAGCTTGAACCCCTGACCTTGCAGTCCAGCACATTAACCCACAGAGCCACTTCAGGACATAAAGATTCCATACAGCCTTGGAAACCCTATGGGGTACTAACTCTGTCCTATTGGGTTGCTGGTGTAGCACTGTAGGATAAGCACTCAAACATAAGATTGGCTTGAACCGCAAGGTTGGCAGTTCAAACCCACCAGCCGTTCCTCAGAAACCCTATGCAGGGTCTCCATGAGTCAGAACCAACTCCACAGCACCTAAAACAACAATGACAACATAGAGGTCCCTGGGAGTCAAAATCAATACAATGGGTGTATATATTTTAATTTATCCAGACTAGAAGTAGAATTTTAAAGCCACGTTGATTTTGCCCCCAGCAAGATGGATTGACAAAGTGGCAGCATCAATGGGCTCAAGTATGGCAACAACTGTGAGGTTGGCCCAGGACTGGGCAGTGTTTCGTTCTGCTGTGCACAGGGTCACTATGGGTCGGTACCAAGTCCATAGCACCTAACAATAGCAACAGCAGTCAAGGTTATAAAGAGTTTTGTTAGGGGCTCATTTTGGCTCCTCCTTCTCCCTCTCTCCCTTCCTCCCCTCCCCCCTTACCCTCTTCCTTGTCATCCTTCCTCCTGTCTTCCTCTCCTTCCCCAAGTCTCTGCCTCACTCCCCTTCTTCCCTTTCTTCTTTCCAACTGTGAGATACTTCCTATACAGAGAGACAGAAGCAAAGAAAACATCAGAGCAATGTATTTACCATAAAACTTCACCAAAGTCTGACAACTTGTCATCTTGGGGTTGAATCGTTTTAAGGAAACATTACAAGTTGTGTCCCTTTCAAGTGATAATAATTCTGAGTTTGGTGTGGATCTTTCCTGTTGAATGTTTCTGTCTCGTTCCTCCAGACGGATGTGCCCATAAACCGTCTGCAGAGCGGTGCTACATCTTCTGAGCTTTCTGTATGCGGATTGCATTTCTGTATGCGTTTGTACATTGCTCCCCATTGGCTCAGTATTACGTACTGGTGATTGTCTACATGTAGCCCTGGTTCATTCATTCTCGCAGCTCTGGGGTCCTTGGGAAGAGACCTCAATCAAACAGTCCCTGAATGGTTGGGATGACCATACATTCCCATTTGCCCAGGATAGCCCCATTTTGGGGGGGGGGGGCAGGGTACAGAACAATCTGTGCACCCTCCTTCACTGGATGAACTTGGACACTTTTTTTTTTTTAATGTTTTATAGTGAATTATGTGATAGTTTGCATGGGAGAACATTAGTTTTACATTTATCCTATCCTATATTGTTTCATTGCCATGGTTACAATCCCCTTCATGCATCATCAACCAACCAAAGGGTATACACTGCAAGCCTGACTCCCCATTCGTCAGCACATAGCCCCTCTCCCTCTCTGGGTATAAAGTCACTCCACCTCTCCACATCATCATCTCTGCCTCCATCTCAGGCATCACTGCTTCTCTGGGTAGGGTCCCGCTCTCCGCTCTTCTCCCTTGATGGTCCCAGGGATCTCCGCTCCCAGATTGAAAAGTTAATTACTCCCCTCTTTGTTACAAAACGTCTACCTTTACATTTCCAACCCTCACAATCAGTCCTGATAACAATTATTCACTATTGTATCACAAGAGACCCATCCGCATTTGCTTTCATCAGCCCCGCCTAGACAGATTGGATACTACTCAATGGAGATTCTACCTTCCTCCATGCGCTCTGGATCTAAGTTCCCTCTTGAAAGCTTATAAGCCAGTCACTTCTTGCCTTTGTATTCCCCCCACTTTGGGTAGCCAATGTCCAAGTTGCCCATCCCTGTCTACTCTTGGGCTTGGTCTCGTTATAGAGCTTCTGCAGGTGTGGAATCGCTGGTTTAACAAAACACTTCCTCCCTGGTACTCCCAGTTCAAGCCAGGTTTTATCCAACCCCTCTGGACCCCTTCCCCACGGAAGTGTGGGTGATCACTGATGGGGTCACCCAGCTGTGTGTGGCGTCGTTCCAGAATTATGTTCGTATCTTTGTCGATGTTTGCTCCCACCCAGGGTTTGACGTGGCCACCTCAATGTGACCTAAGTCTTGCTGGGGACTTTATTTCCCTTGACTATGTGAAGGAGCTCTGGTAGCGTAGTGGTTACGAATTGGGCTGCGAACCTTAAGGTCAGCGGTTCGAAACTACCAGCTGCTCCACGGGAGAAAGATAAGGCTTTCTACTCCCGTAAAGATTTACACCCTCAGAAACCCCTGTACGGGGTCGCTATGGGTCGGAACCGACTTGACGGCACTTAACAACAACAACATGTGGGAGTTGAATTGCTGGGAGATAAAGTACTGGACTGCAAGGTCGGTTTGAAATTTAAGGTTAGCAGTTCAAACTCACCAGCCACTCCTTGGAAACCCTATACAGGGTCCCTATGAGTCGGAACTGACTTGAAGGTGCTTAACAACCACCACCACCACCACCTCTTGGGGGCCCCAGAGTGTCCCAGCTTCAGCCTGCTTGTGACTTTTCCCTCTTGGCCCTAGTGAGATCCCTTTTGTGTCTGGCGGAGGCTTTTCTGTTCTATTTTTACACACTTCCCATCACCGCGCGCTGTTTGAAGCTGAGTGAGTTGTTAGAACATGACCTCCATGCCATCCCGACCTGAAGCTCACATTTGTCTCTCTCCTGCTGCTCTTTCATCTCACAGAAAAGCAAAAGCCTTTTCACCTGCCCTCGGGAGGTCCCAACTGCCCCAGCGGCTCTTTGGTTCATCCTTGTAAAGTTGTGGCCATCGACATAGGAGGTGGGCTGGCTGCAGACGTGAAGCTGGGGATTCCTGACTCACAGGGCCTCTTCCACTTGGATCCTGGTGCTGCTCAGTGTGGTGTCCTGGTCATCTTTGCTGTTGTTAAGCACCATCGAGTCAGCCCCCAACTTGTGAGGACCCCTTGTGCCACCCCTGTGATCAGATGTGGATCCAACTGCTGTGATCATTAGACTTCCATGGTTGATTGATATCCAGGTCTTTCTTCCTACTCTCTCTTGGTCTGGAAGCTCACCTATTAGGCATCACAGCATCACACAAGCCTCCACAGAAAGATGGGTGCTGGCTGCGCCTGTGCTGTGGGCTGGTGGAACCCTGGTTTCCCTCATGGAAGGCTAGAATCCTTCTGTTGCCCAACGCCGAACCAAACCCACCTCGATTCCGACTCATAGCAACTCTATGTAGGGTTTCTGAGACTATAAATCTGCGCGGGACTTGACAGCCTCATCTTTCTCATGAGGTGCGGCTGGTGGATTAGAACCGCTGACCTTGCATTTAGCAACTCACAGCACCCCCATGCCCCCTTCGTTAGAGAACTTTAAAGTGCTCCATGCAATTCGGCAGTCACTGCAACAAACGCTAGACCGTGAAACCGAGCCTGCAGGCTTTCAGAACTCACTCCTTTAACGTCCTTGTCTCCTTCTTCCCTTCCCTCTAGAAACAACAACGGCCCGCAAGATCCAGCAGCCATGTCTCGCAGTCCCACGTCCAGCGATGATGAGATGGCTCAGAGTTTCTCTGACTACTCAGCGGGCTCCGAGTCGGACAGTTCCAAAGAAGAGACAATCTACGACACCATCCGGGCCACAGCAGCCAAGCCGGGCAGCTCCCGGACGGAGGAGAGCCTGGGCAACACGCTGGTGCTCCGGATCATTATCCAGGACCTGCAGCAGACGGTGAGCCCTCTCTTCTCCTGCCTGCCCCACCCCTCTACTGTGGCTGGAGCGCAAGAGCATGCCTGCCACCCACCCTGGACCCGCTGGCCATGCACGCTGAGTGTCCACTCTTCATAGGTTCCTGAGCTCTCGTTCTATCATGGGACAGTTTACATCTTGTAACCAGACTTCTGTGTGTTTTTGTAAATTACCAATCACGAACCACTTGCTGTGTTTAATTAATTTTATGTAATTCTTGTGACAGCGTTTTGAGATTAGCGATGTTGAAAACGGAACTCTGATCTTTCTCTTTTCCTTCTTCAAAAATACCTTGTTATTCTGGTGAGATATACATTACAAAATTTGCCATCTCAACCACTTTCCTGTACCACTCGGTGGCCTTCATTACGTCCCCATGATGTTCCAACGCCAGCACTGTTTCCGAACATTGTGATCACCTTCTCATAAATCCAGTGGCCCATCAGTGGTACGTCCCATTTCCCCTCTTACAGACCCACTAACCGCTCATCAGATTTGGTCTCTATGCATCTACCTGTTCTTATCAGTTGCTGTTGTCATGTGCCGTGGAGTCAGTTCCGACTCTTAGTGACCCTGTACAGGGTATCTGAGGCTGTAAATCTTTACGCGAGCAGAAAGCCTCATCTTTCTCCCACGGAGCAGCTGGTAGTTTTGAACAGCTAACCTTGTGGTTCGCAGCCCGATTCGTAACCACTACGCTATCAGAGCTCCTTGTTCTTATCAGTTGGATCCCTTAATACTTGTCCTGTTGAGTCTGACTTCTTTCACTCAGAATGACGAGTTTGAGACTCACCCAGGGTGTGGCATGTGTCAAAACCTCACTTTTCCTCTTCCTGGCTGAGAAACACACCATTGTGTGGACCTACCACATTGTGTTCATCCACCGTGTGTTGGTGTGCCAGTGGACGTATGTTTGCAGCCTTGTGTGAGTTCCTTGAGAACAAACCTAGGATCAGAATTGTGTAGTGATTCTGTGGGATAAATGCTGGGCTGCTAACCACAAGGTCTGTGGTTCGAGCCCACTAGCCGCTTCCTGGGAAAAGATGAGACTTTCTCCTATAGAAATTTGCGGCCTTGGAAACCCTATATGGGGTCCCTATACGTATTTGATGCTTTTGAGTTATGGTGTTGGAGGAGAATATTGAAAGTACCATGGACTTCCAGAAGAACAAACGTATCTGTGTTGGGAGAAGTACAGCCAGAATGCTCCTTGGGAGCCAGGATGGTGAGTCTTCATCTCTCAGACTTCGGACATATTGTCAGGAGGGACAAGTCCCTGGAGAAGGACATCATGTTTGGTAAGGTGGAGGGTTGGAAAAAAGAAGATCCCCATGTAGATGGATTGGCCCAGTGGTAGCATCTATGGGCTCAGACGTAGCAATGATTGTGAGATTGGCCCAGGATCAGGCAGTGTTTCATTCTGTTGTGCATAGGGTCGCTATGAGTTGGTACCAACTTGATGGCACATAACAACAACAATAACAACAACAACAACAACAAAAGAGAGCTTCAGAATTGTTCATGGAAAACTGAAATGGCCTCTGAAGCCTTTGCACAGTGTTTAACTGTTTCCCCGGCAACCACCTGCTTTACAGCCCCGCCAGAAGTGGATGAAGGGGGGCAGTGATCATTAGAGAATGACATTTGGTGGTAGTTGTGATGGGGGCGCAGGGACAGTGACGAGGGCATGTCGTCAGTATTTACATTGTTACCAGGTGAAAATGTCTTTGGACCATTCCAGAGACCTCTGAAGTTAGTCCCCTGTTCAGAGCATTTTCCTGGTTTTGAAGAGGCTGTAAGGAGCTCGGGGAGGTGGGCAGGTTGTCACACCTTCCTGATGGACCTGGAATATTAAAGCTTGACTGTTCACAGAAAGGCTTTCAGTTTGAACCCGCCAGCCACTCCACGGGAAAATTATGCGGCAGGCTGTTCCTATGGAGATTTAGAAGCTTGGAAACCGTGCTAGGCAGTTCGAGTCTGCCCACAGATTGCTTAGAGTTGGAGCCAACGTAATGGCGGTGGGTTTGGCTCCATTTAGGGGTCTCGTGGATGTCTGAGTACAGTCCCTCCAGACGAGAGTTAAGACAGAATGATTTTCATGCTGAGAGTGTTGATACTCTGTCTTTGTGCCTCTGGTCTCTAACTGACCTTGTTGTGCTTCCAGAGATGGACCTGGCAGATAAAGAGACGGGAGCTCCGAGAGCTTTATTCTAGGTGGACGTTGCTGTGGTCGTCTGATCTTGAGCTGTAAATCTTTGGGGTTCCTCTCTCCCACTTGAGCAGGACCTGGAGTCCGGTCCCAATGCCACCGTCTTCTAGATGGATGGTCTTCAACAAGTCACTCTACGTCAGGAGCTATAGAGTCGGCTTTGACTCAGAGCGACAGCACCAAGCACCGTCCGGTCCTAGGCCACCGTCACAGTTGTTTGAGCCCATCGTTGGCCCACTGTGCCAATCCAGCTCGTTACGAGTCTTCCTCATTTTCTGATGACCTTATACATTTCCAAGTATGATGTCCTTCTCCAGGAACTGGTCCCTGCTGAAAACATGTCCAAAGTAGGAGAGATGAAGTCTTGTCACCTTCTCTTCTAAGGGACACCCTGGCTGTACTTCTTCCAGCACACATTGGTTTGTTATTCTGGCAATCCATGGAACTTTCCATATTCTCCTCCAACTCCAGAACTCAAATGCATCAAATCTTCTACGGTCTTCCTTATATGCATTGTTCATCTTTCACATGCATTTGAAAGGATTGAAAATACCATGGCTTAGGTCAGTTGCCCCTCAGTCCTCAAAGTGACGTCTTTGCTCTTTAACACTTTAAAAGGTCTTGTGCAGCACATTTGTCTAATGCAATACGTCATTTGAGTTTTTGATCACTCCTTCCGCGAGTGTTGATGGTGGATCCAAGCAAAATGAAGTCTTTGACAACTTCAGTCTTTTCTCCATTTGTCATGATGTTTATTGGTCCCGTTGTGAGGGTTTATGATTTCTTTTCATTGAAGTGAAGCTATACTGAAAACTGAGTTTTTGATCTTTATCAGTAAGCATTTTAAATCTTCCCTTCTAGCAAGCGTATTACATGTTGTTAATGAGTCTTCCACCAATCCCGATAGCACCTTCTTCATAGAATCCAGTTTCTTGGGTTATTTGCTCGGCATACAGATTAAATATGTCAAAGGATACCACCTTGGCACACACTTTTCCTGATTTTAAACCATAAAGTATCTCACTGTTCTGTTGGAACGACTGCTTCTTGGTCTGTGTACAGGTTCCTCATGAGAACAATGAAGTGTTCTGGATTACCCATTCTTTGCAATATTTTCCATAGTATGTCATGATCTACACAGTTGAATGCCTGTGCATAACCATTTAATACAAGCAAACACAATTCTGGTATTCTCTGCTTTCAGCCAAGATCCATCCATCTGATGTCAGCAGTGATATCCCTCCGTTCCACGCCATCTTCTGAATCTGGCTTAGATTTCTGGCAAGCTCCCTCTCAGTGTACTGTTGCTAACATTTTTTAATTATTTTCAGCAAAAATTTTACTTGCATGTGATAATAATGATATTGTCCAATGATTTCTGCATTCTGTTGGGTCACCTCTCTTTGGAATGGGCACAAATATGAATCTCTTCCAATAGATTGAAATCTCTTCCAAATTTCTGCCAAATATGAAATCTCTTCCAAATATGAAATCTCTTCCAAATTTTTGGCTTAGGTGAGTGAGTGCCTCCAGGGCTGCATCAGTGTGTGGAAAGATTTCTATTTCTAGTGCATCGATTCCCGGTGCCTTACTTTTTGCCAATGTCTTTAGTGCTCCTTGGACTTCTTCCTTCAGTACCATTGGCTGTTGATCAACCTTTTGAAGTGAATTAAACATGGCCCATTTCTTTTTGGTACAGTGACTCTCTGTCTTCCTTCCATCTTCTTTAATGCGTCTTATGCCATTCAGTAGTAGAATTCTTCAACACTGCAATCTGAGGCTTGAATTTTTTCTTCAGTTCTTTCAGCATGAGAAATGCTGAGTGTGTTTTCTAACTCCAGGTCTTTGCAGATTTCATTATAATATTTGACTTTGTCTTCCTGAGCTGCCCTTTGACAGTTACTGTTCAGCTCTTTTACCTCTTAATTTCGTTCATTTACTTTATCATCTCTATGCTGATACAACCTTGCTTGCTGTAAGTGAAGAGGACTTAAAATACTGATGAAGATCAAAGAGCACAACCTTCGGTATGGATTGCATCTCAGTATAAAGAAAACAAAAATCCTCACCACTGGACCAATAAACAACATTCTTATCAATGGAGAAAAGATTGAAGTTGTCAAAGACTTCATTTTTTTGTATCAACCATCAACATTCACAGAAGCAGCAGTCAAGAAATCAAATGACGTATTGCATTAGGCAAATCTGCTGCATAAGACCTTTTTAAAGTGTTGAAGAGCAAAGATGTCAGCTTGAGGACTAAGGTGCTCCTGACCCAAGCCATGGTATTTTCAATAACCTCATATGCATGCGGAAGCTGAACAGTAAATAAGGAAGACCATAGAAGAATTGATGCTTTTGAGTTAACGGAGTTGGAGGAGAATATTGAAAGTGCCATGGGCTGCCAAAAGAATCAATAGATGCGTGTTGGAAGAAGTGCAGCCAGAGTGCTCCTTGGAGGCCAAGATGGCCAAACTTGGTCTCTCATACTTCGGACATATTGTCAGGAGGGTCCAGTCACTGGAGAAAGATATCATGTTGGTAAGGTGGAAGGTCAGAGAAAAATAGGAAGACCCACAGCGAGATTGATTGGCCAAGTGGTAGCATCAATGGGCTCAAGCGTGGCAACAATTGTGAGGTTGGCCCAGGACCGGGCAGTGTTTCGTTCTGTTGTGCATAGGGTCACTGTGAGTTGATACTGACACGATGGCACCTAAAAACAACAACAAGAAAGTGGGGGTGATAGAGTTCTGCTTCCTGTGGTCATAGACAA